ACAAACATGTGATCTGAGGCTTTCTTATTTCTTGTCCGTGGTGAGAATACTATTTTTCTCCTCGACGGAGGCGGAAAGCGGCATTTTCGTTTAGCGCAGCGAGCAGAAAATTGACGCTTTCCGCACGGAGGGGAGAAAAAAAATTTTCGATTTAAGGGCGCAAAATTTTTTTCTTTGTAGGTTTGGTTTCAAAAAATTTATTATATAAATTTCAGGATAGTTAATGGTTTAAATTAAAAAAATGATTGTAAGTCGACAGTTATAAAAATACATTGCTCTTATAGAGAAGTAGGTACTTGTGATCATAAATCAACAAAAATAAATATGCTAAAAGATTTTTTTATTTAACTTTTAGAATAAATAATATTATTAAAAAAAATATATATGTTTACAAATTCGGATTAAAAATTTTTTTTAATTTCTACATGTGAAATTATCACACTCAATATTTTTTCTTAGTAATTGAGTTGTTAAAAAAATCCAAAAAATTGTCAGATGTCAGTTAATTTCAGTATCATCTCATAAAAATACTTTCTACTGATTCATTCCAGAGAGAAAATTGAAATAAAATTTTAATTAATTATCTTTCATTGGAAAAATGCATACTAAAATAAGTAATGTGCAAATGAAATTTGCGTTTTCAAAAATTACACTAGTATTTGTGTTTGTAATATAACAAAAAAAGTTATTGGTGTCATTGTACATTGATCAGTTGTTAACATAATTACATATCTGTTTATAACTAGGTCAATATTATTAATAACATCAATAATATCAGTAAAGATTACCATAAAAACATTGAATCCTTCAATTTTTTTATAAATAGGATTAATTTTTTTTTTCATTACTTATTATTATTATCAATTTTCTAAACTGACAGACTGAATTTTTGTACTCGTTGAATTTTTTGTAAATACACCGTGTCAATATTACTCAAGTGGACCTTGTTTATTTAATTTAACAACCGGTAAAAAATGTAATTTATTATATTATGCGACACACTATTTAATTCATTATCAAGCTGGTAATTAAGTCTCGTTGACTTTAAATTTATATTTAATAGTTCTGCGATAAGATATGGTCCATTCGCGAGGCTAGAGATGAGGGACTCTAGTAATTTGCTTAAAAATTTACCGTGACGAAATTGGCAAGAGTGGGCTTAGGAAGTGTCAGCTATAAATGTTCGGACTCAGATGCTAAAGAATCATTCTTCGAAATAACTCCAACCAAGTCGCAAACATTTTTTTGTTATTTGAGCTTTGAAAATGAAAACTTTTATTTTATTTGTGTGTGTCGTCGCGTTCTTGTGGGTCGAAGCCAGCGGTAAGTATTTTTAATAATTTAATTAATTTATAATAGATTTAATTTTTTTAATTGGTGTTTTTGTTTGAAGCCAATTGTCCACCGCTTGATGATCCGCAAGGAGATAAAACGGTACCGGAAGGTACTAAGTTCGATAAAAAATGTGTCCAGTACGAATGTAAAGATGGTGGATACGAAGGAATAGGGTAAGATTTAATTTTTAATTTTTTAATTTTTTATTTTTTTGGTAATTTATCAATTATCCTTAATGAAATGGTTATTTCAATTATCGTAATAATATGATAGAGGCTTTAAAAAATAAGTAATTTAATTTAGATGCAATATTGATTTTTTAAAGAATAAATAGTTATCCAGAAAAAAACTTTAATTTTTAAAAAATAAGCGATGATTGGATGAATTTATCCAGTCATTTATTTTTAGAAAAAAAAATTAAAATTTTATGAATAAAAATTACTCGAGTTTATGAAAATTGAGAGTAATACAAAAAAAAAAACTACCGATTTTTTAACATTAAATAGAATTATTATTTTTTTTTAATTGCCCATTTATAGATTTCTGAATTTCATTTGAATAAAAATAGATAGCAAAAAATTAAAAATCACCCCCTCTGTAATTATGAAGTCTTGAAATTATTCTCAATACCGAAAAAATTCAATAACTAAAAAAATAATTTTTCTGACCTCAATAATCAATTTTTATTTACCAAAGATTTAATTCTTTAATAGACTTCCTAATCTACATAAAAGTAATTACATGATGAATAAATAAAAAAAAATTTGAAATTAATTTTCACTGTCGGGAATTGCTTTTGTTCAAACTCATACACGGAAAAATATATAATTAGAATTTATTCCTCCCTAATGAGGTTTTTTAAAAATTTTTTAATAATATCAAAGATAACGAATATCACCAATAGTTATCAAAGTTGAGGACAAATAACATTTTCAATTATTTGATCAGTATATTTAAAAATATTGATTTTTTTATTGTTTTTTCAGATGTGCTGAATTTCATTGCGAGGGTCAAACCGGATCGACGGATTACAATTATTCATTAAGTTACCCAGAATGTTGTCCTCAGCCAATTTGCCCTAAAAACTGATCACACAGCGCCTATTTTAGTACGAACCTCTTCCCAAAATGAATTGTATCTTGAAACATCTGAAAAATAAAATAATATATAAAATTTAAAATCATATAATTATAATCAACGCAATAAAAATTCTTTAAACCCGCAAAATATTTCTGTTTACTTTAGCCATTAATTCTATGTTTACGAACATTTATTATCTTGTACATAATAAATTCAGCAAATCAGATAAGAGATAATAAAATAAATAAAATATTCTTAAGAAAGTCATTGGATGTCAGAAATTTCAGATTTATATTTACTAGCTTAACGATATGTATGTTAATAAGTTTTTAACACCAATGTTATATGTAGTTCGTGTAGAATTAATTATGCCGTCTATGAGACTAGAATTAAGATTAAAATCGTCTTGACATCAACAATCAGATGAATAAATTACCCACTGTATAAATACCTACCTCGCGAAAATTTAATCAGTCACTACTCGCCTGCGAACTTCCTTATACTCTATTCTATTCTATTCTATTGTTAACAATCTCTTGAATTAAAAATGAAGGCGTTCTTTATTGTTCTCTGCGCTTTCGCCTGTTTGTGGATCCAAGCTAATGGTAAATATTTGAACATGAACGCACGAATTATTGACACCTTATTTTTTTTTTCAATATTTATTTTCATAAAAATCTTACAAATTTTTTATATTATCTTAATTTAAACAAAATTAATGTCAAAAAAAATAACAGATATTATTCATTAGAAAATATTTAAAAAATTTTTTGAATATTTTGATAAGCTATTTTTTATTTTGTATCAATAATTTGATTAAAGATATGTCAATAAGTAAAACTAATCATTAAATTTAATTAATTAATATTGAAATTGATTAGCAGAAGGATCAATTAAGAATATTGGAAAAAATTGATTAAATTTGAAATTAAATTGAAATAATAAAAAAAAATATGCAGTCAATAATTATTTTTAATTTTTTTGCTTCAATTTTTCAATTCTAATTATTTAAACAATCTTTTTTGACAATTAGCCAATTGTGTAAGTTTGAACCAAAAAGAAGAAGGGGAAAAAATATACAAAGCTGGTGAAAAGATGATCAAACAATCCGAATGCGCGGAATACACTTGCCATGAGGATGGCTCATGGACTTCTCTTGGGTAAATAAAATAATTAAGGCTAATTGAAATCGTAAGATAATCTCAATTATGTACGGAAAAAAAGCTCTGTTAAAATTACCGAAAAACTTTTTAATCTTACAGTTATACTCCTATTAAGATGTAATTGTCAAATTCAAATTTTTAGAAATTGAATTCTCGTAATTGTTAAATGTAATTTTTTTTTGCGGGATATTTAGATGTGGCGTATGGCAGTGTGAAGATGCTGTCGGGTACCAGAACTACGATTACTCGAAGCCATATCCAGAATGCTGTCCTCACCCGATCTGTAAATCAGACCTCAAAAATTAAAGATTTTATCTTTAAGATGGACACTCTACCGGAATCGAAGCAGACGTGATTGATGAGTTTTGATGGTTTAATACTCAATTAACATTTATTTTAAACACTAATTTAAATTTGTTATTTACATAATAAAATTTATTTTAAAAAATTGTTTACTTTGTTATTGCCTTGAAGTTTTGTTTTTATATTATTTATTTTTTTTTTTTTTTTTCCAAATAATATTGAAATGAATCGGCCAGAAGTGGGATTTATTATTGCATCATATTTATAATATATTATTCCTATATAAAGGCCGTTTAAAGTTAGGACAACCAGAACTGTTGTCGAGTTAGTCGTGAATTTTATTTGTTAAATAAACTGAAGATGAAAATTTTTCTAAGTCTTTTTGTTTGCTGTTTTCTGATTGAAGTAAACGGTAAGTATATTTTTTTTTTTTCATAAATTGTGAACAATTGGAAGTTTATCTGAAGTGAATTTTTAGTATAATTATATCTTCATTCTATACTAACTCCTCAAATTTTACATAGTGTATGTTCTTATAGTTTTATCATCAATTTTTAATAAATCATTTTTTTAAATACCAGCTGATTGCTGGTATGCTCCACCTGGTTATGGAGCCGAGGATGGAAAGATTTACAAGGATGGAGATGAACTACAAAATGGAAAATGTTTCAGCGTAAAATGTGACAACAATTCATGGGTTGGTAGCAGGTAATTCAATCATTTAGATTTAATTTTTCTGAAAATTAATGTAAAATATTTTGTACAGGTGTGCTGAATATCATTGTATAGACCAAATTGGGAACACCGGCTACAATTATTCGAAACCGTTTCCTGAATGCTGTCCTAGACCGATATGTAAATCAGATCTAGAAAAAAAATTGAAAAAGCGATCATTAAAAATTTTCAGACTTTGAACACGAATGTAATTTTAATAAATAAAATCCAACTGTTTGTAAAAAAAAATTGCGTTTTGTAGTTATGATATAAAATATTAAATAAAAATAAAATTTTTTTTAATACCAATAAATTGTACGCATCAACTTGAAGTTTTGTGTTGACGATATAAATTTTATAAATTCTACAATTTTGATTAAATTTATTCTATCTTTTCTATCCCGCCATTGCGTCATACGCGGAATACATTAACTCCCTCGTATAAATGTTAGGTGAGTAAGAGTTTGAACAACCAGAATAGCAGTTGTCAGTAGTTTTATTTGCCAAGCTAATAAAAATGAAAATTTTTGTTAGTTTTTTTGTTTTTCTGATTGTAGCTTGTTTTTGGAATAAAGCCAAAGGTGAGCATTGTTCTTCATTACTATTATCAATAATAACTTAAGTTCAGTTTAGTTTCTTTTTTTCAACAAATTATATCTAATAATATCTTTAAAACAATTAATAGCTGACTACATGTGGGTCCCTTTGAAGGAGAAGATAAGTTGGCGATACAGTGATTCATAAATGCATGGAATCTATATTCAATTGATTCGGATGGATTACTTCGGAGTGATTCTAACTCTTAAAGTTTAAATCTTTCAAATGATATTCAATAATGTATTTATATTTATTTTTAAAAATTTTTTATAAATATTGTTTATTTCAACAAAAAGCAACCAACTGTCAATTTCAATGAAGTATCATAATTCTGGCTTATAAATTTTTTATTCTTTATGAAACTTTCATTACCTTGGTTCTGTTTTAATAATTTATACTTTTGAATGTTTTTTTTTTTTTCAAATTATATTTTTATAAATTACCAGTTTTAATTTAAAATTGTGTCTCAAATTTATCCAAGAAAAAAATGAAAATCTTTGATTTTTGGCACGTTTTTGTCAAAATTATCATAATGATTTTTAACATTTGTATTGAAAAGTATTTGTTTAATAACTAAAAAATATTACTGATTTAAAAAATTTCCTTAAATATATATGTATTGTATATTTATATTGGGAAATAAATAAATAAATAATAAATTTGAATATTTATAATTTTAATGAAAAGTTTTACTTATGTAAAAACAATCACTTTATAGTATTATTAGTAAAATTAATTTTTTATGATAAATTTTGACTTAATAAATTCATATTATGCTAAAAGAAATTATTTTACGTCAATAAAAAAATTTTTAATGCAACTATAAAGTAGATCCTTCAGCGAATTTAAATTTCAAATAATATGGGTTTATCCAAGTTCTCTATTTTGTCCCACTCTTCCTTACAAATATATATAATGGTCCGTAAGAATTTAAGCGACCAGTCGCAATCGTTACCTGAGAATCTTAGGTCTTTAAGTAGATAAAAATGAAAATCTTCGCTGGTTTTGTTGTGTGTTTATTAATCATCTCCTTATGGATTGAATCTGATGGTAATTATAATTATTATTATTTTTTTTTTCTTTAAATCACATTTAAATATCAAATAAAATATCTTCATTAATCAGCCTCCTGTTTTAATACCCACGATGGTAAGAGATCGAGGAAGACTTTCAAGACTAACTATAAGTTGACTGACCAATGCGTGGAATATACATGCAATGCGAACGGAGAGTGGTCGATAAGAGGGTAAATTAACCAATTTAGAAAATATATTAAATATTAATTGAATACATATTAGAGCTTATTTAAATATTTCTTGTACAGGTGTTACGAGTGGGTATGCAAACGACGGGCAATCGGTTACGAAACCGCTGATTTTTCAAAACCATTTCCTTATTGTTGCGGATATCCCATTTGTGATTGATTTATTAATTATTGTTTAACCTGATGTTTAAATTTTTAATGTTTGAATTTATAATTTATGTTAAATAAATTTTATCCAAAACAAATGTTTGCTTACTATCATTACCTTGAAATTTATTTCGATGACCTATTCAAATTTTCGTTGGAATTTGTGTGTGATCCCACCAGGAACAGGTATTCTATTTTTATCTCTATGATTCACTTGTTTTTTAACAGAAAGAGTTTTCCTGGTAGACTAGACAAGAAAAAATTCACACAACTAGCGAAAAAGTGAGTCATTCTATGACAAATTGATTTTCCGCTTATAAATATCAAAACAAGAGATAAAAATTTTCAGTTAATCTTAAGGAAGTCCTTTCGCTCCAGTTGAGTCAAAACAATTGTAGTAGTCAATATACGATAAATTAAAAAAAAAAAACTCATAAAAATTCCTAAAATTTAATAATAAATAGTATATGAGGCATTAATCGTTGAAATTTTGAAAATAAAAAAAAAATAGTTAAATATAAAAATTAATTTGACTCTTTCAAATCAGTTGCTTTCAAATCACTTGTCCGTGATTTGGCAACGCTGTACTTCGGTTGTTTACATTTTCATTTGCACAATATAACCTTAACCACGTTTAAGTTTTTGCAGTCAGTGTAAATAAATAAATTAGTTTGAATAAATAAATTAGTTTAAATTTATTGAATGGTCTGAAGCTCGCGCGCTACGCAACGTTGCCAAATGTTTTGACTCCATTTTAACGTAGGTTACTTGAGAATTTTTTGTGATTTTTAAATATTAATTTCTCAATAAATATATCGGTAACTGATATATTTTATTGCAAAAAAAGAAACCTGAAGATTTCGAAAATCTAATTTTTAGTTTTTCTTTACTTCATGTAATCCATGACTGATAGTATAATTCGAGAAATACTGCAAACATCTGACTTTCTCATAAGACTCTGAACAAATACTAACATTTAAAAACTTTATTTTTTCAAAAATTTGTCCGGTAAAGTATAATTTAAACCTCACTATTAAATAAATAAGGACCTTAACTATTAGAAAAAAATAGAATTTACTCATAATCTAATATTTTTTATTTTACATTGGCGGCGAAAGGACCTCCTTAAATTAATTTGTAGATGGACTTTATATATTGTTTTCAAATTCAATATGAAATCTTATACTGTTTTTGATCTACAATTTTCACTCTAAATGTTCGAAGGCCAAAAGT